TTTCTTTCTTTCTTTATTGCTTGTTTGCTTCCTTGTTTCAGTCTTTCTTTCTTTCTTGCATTGGTTCTTGCTTGTTTCCTTGCTTCAGTTTTTCTTTCTTTCTTTCGTTTTGTTCGATTTTGCTTGTTTCCTTGCTTCAGTTTTTCTTTCTTTCATTTATTTACTTAATACTTGCTTATTTGCTAGCGTCAATCTTTCTTTCTGATTTCATTCATTGATTTCTTCTTTCTTTCTTTGTCTCTTTCTCTAAGATTTCATTCATTCATTTCTTCTTTCTTTTTTGTTTCAAGCTTCATTCATTTGGTCTTTCTTTCTTTCAGTCTTTATTCATTCATTTTTTTCAGGTTTCTTTCTTTCCTTCGTTCGGGATTCTTTCTTTCTTTCTTTTTTTCTTTCTCTCTTTCTATTTCTTTACATCTTTCCTTTATTTTTCTTTTACACATCATTTTTTAATTTTCTTTCATTTTCATTCTTCTCTCCTCTTTTGCAGTTTTCCTTTTTTTTTTTAATGCTTTATTTTTCCATTTATCAGATTCGACTTTAAAATCGAAGAAAACTTCCATCGATTCTTGTTTATTTTACAGAATTTTCTTTCTTTCTTCTTCTTATTCTTCAAGAATTCAGTTTGCTTACTTTCGTTCTTTGCCGACATTTTTCATTCTTACCTGTTCATTTGACTAAAGCTTTAATTTTCTATTTTCATAATTCTAAGAAGACCTTTTTGTTTCAATGCTTCTCGCCTCTACCACTGCCTTCCTTTCTCCTTTCTTTCCTTCTTTACCACATCCCTTCCTTCCTTCCTTCCTTCCTTCCTTCCTTCCTTCCTTCCTTCTTTCTTTCCGTCTTTCTTTCTTTCCTTTCTTCTTTCCTTCCTTCTTTTCGTCTTTCTTTCTTTCTTTCTTTTCTTTTTCCCCCTCTCTCTCCCTTCCTTCCTTGTTTCCTTGTTTCCTTCTTTGCTTCCTTCCTTCCTTCCTTGCGTCTTTCTTTCTTTCCTTTCTTTTCTTTCTTCCCCCTCTCTCCCTTCCTTCCTTGTTTCCTTCTTTGCTTCCTTCCTTGCTTCCTTCCTTCCTCCTTTTCCTTCCTTCCTTCTTTCCTTCCTTCCTTCCTTCCTTCCGTCTTTCTTTCTTTCCTTTCTTTTCTTCCTTCCCTCCTCTCTCCCTTCCTTCCTTATTTCCTTTATTGCTTCTTCCCTTCTTTCCTTCCTTCCTTCCTTCCTTCCTTCCTTCATTCTTCATTCCATCCATTCTTTCGCCCTTCTATCTCTTTTTCCTTCCTTCCTTCCTTCCTTCCTTCCTTCCTTCCTTGTTTGCTTCCTTGTGTACTTCCTTCCTTACTTTCTTTTATTACAAAGCTCACCTCTTCTGACAACACAATTGCGTAGACGATAACAGATTTGTGCAAAACTGGCCGAAGGTCTTTGTATTCAAGATATACAAGAATCTTGTCTATCACAGATAAATACATTTTGGACACAGTTGCATTTTCGACTCAAAGACAAAGGAACGTCACAAAAATATATGATGTCCTCTTCGAGATTATTTCAAAATCTTTTTATGATTATTTCTTTGTTTTTGGGTTGTTTTTAGCTTTGGAAATAATCACGGTTTTTTTTTTTCTATCCATACCAAAATACACACACACACACACGCGCGCATTCATAGACACATTGCCATATATACATACAAGAATTCACACACGCAAAGAGACGCATTTACATACACAGAAATGTAAAGATGCATTCACACATAAACGCAGATGCATTCTTACACAAACGCATTCACAATCACAAACTCACACACACACACACACACACACGCACACACGCACACACACACGCACTGATGGATATTCATATACAAATATTCACACACACACACAGATGTATTCACACGCATTCGAATATACAAACACACACACACAGACGTTTCCACACACATACGCGCACTGATGAATTCACACACACAAGCACTTATATACAGGTTCATGCACTCATACACACGCAGAGGCGCATTGACGCACCTATACTCGCTCTCTCTCACACACACAGACGTATTCACACACGCACACATTCCTGCACACAATCACAAACCTAAACACACATAGACATTCACTCGTACTCACACACATACAAACACAGACGCATTCTCAGTGACACACACATGGCCATGCACAGACACATTCACACACATAGATGCATTCACGCACGTTCGCTTTCACACACACATGCATACACTATTCAGCAGAAGCCAAGATTGACATAAAGTGTAATAACAATAATGATAATAATAATAATATTGTTTTAATCCTTTCAACTCAAACCAGACGGTAATGCCAGTAGTACACAGAGGGTTTCAGGGATTGAAAGTGAAAGAGAGGACTGAGAATAGGAAGGATTGAGGAAAAGACAAAAGATGAACATGACTCAAGAAAATAGGAGATGACGATTGACGTTGCATTTAAAATTTTGAATATTGTGGTTATCAGGGCAGCAAGTAAACGGAAGGGAGTTCCACAGGCGAGAAGTGCGAGAAAATAAACTCTGGGAGTAAAACCGACGGTCAGGAGAAATTCCAAAGATTTGGAATTGGCGTTCAAATCTCGTCGAAACCTCTTTAGTTTCTACAACATTTCGTTTTAGCAGCAATAATATAAAAAGAAATGTAAGTTAAATTTTCGTCTGAATTTCTGGGATGCGCATATTCTTGGCATATTGTCTAGTTCTTATTTTTATTTTACTGCTGTTCAGTTATTGCTCGCCCGTTTTACACTGAGGGCAAATTGCCCGATTCAAGGATTGAACACACAACCACTATACTATTTACATCATTTGGACTATCGTCCTCATCTTTGTTGCCATATTTATCACAATGCTTCGGCCGTTGTACGCTCCAGCCTTCTTCAGGTAGTTGAAATGTCGAAATGAACCATTTATTTTGCTCGCTGAGGTAGACTGTTCTAGTTCCACGTGCCATGTCTAATGGATATCAGTTATCAGTTATCTCCTGTTAATTAGTTCTCCACTGCCTTAAACAGGTATTGAACTCACAACTCTTTGGTTCCTTTCACTGGATCTAACCAACGTCTTTATCCGCTGTGCCATGTGTTATTGAGGACACATAGCACAGTGGACAAAGCGAAATAAAGTGTACAGTTCGACATTCCACCAATATAACAAATGTTGTCTGCTGAAGTCCTGAAGGATGAAATAAAACAAGTCGCAAGTAATTTTTTTTTTCATTTACATATATAATTGTTCTTGATATATAAAAATATGTCGTTTTTCTCATATATAAATATGAATATCTATTATCAAGTATGTATTTCTTTTCTTTTTTTTTCAGGTGAGTGAAAGTATTGATTTGGGAATTTAAATCACTGAAATGAATGACTCGATTGGCTGTCCCGATACATCAAAGGTTTGTCTGTATCGCATCTGATTTTCTCTCTTTGTCAATGTATTTACCAGCTTTATATATTTATCAGGTTTAATCAAAGAATTAAATCCAACAAATTTGCTCTGTACGACAAGGCAGATATCAACGAAAATGTCATGTATTGATGTAATGAATATGCATACCTCACAGGTGTCAGCCATAAATACAGACTGATGTGGAAGTATAATGACTACGCCTATTGTCTTCGTCTATTGATTACGCCAATTGTCTTTGGCTATTGCCTAACTCTACGACGAGGACCAGTCCATTACGGTGCTAGATTGTCCTACTCGGTTACAGTAGTCCAAAACCACTTTGCTACTGCGAACAAATATATCCCTTTCCGGGACATATATATATTTCTCCATCATGATGAGACCTGCCGATGTTAATACAGGGTATAATATATAGGTGCATTCATTAAGGACTAAGGTTAGTCATAGGGGGAGTGTTATTTTTCAGGACACCAACTAGAAACTCAACCCTTCGATACACTTACTGATAAGACTTGAATATTTACCTGTCAAACGATAGTAGATTTTACACAGAGCCAAAATTAACGGGGATCTCTAGACATAAACACTCAAGTAAGACCAGAAAGTGTCCACTTCAATTGGCATATTTTTATAAACGTCTCAACTATCAGGAAGTGAACCTGAAAGAAATTCACATTTAATTTTAAGGAATAAAAGACGTTTTTATGATTGGAAACGTTCATCGGGCATCAATGGCTGAAGAACAGGGTGGAAGGATATCGGTCCGTAATTTCGAGAAATCTTAGAACTGAAAATACGTTCACCGACAGGCAATAAGTGTTTAAAAAATTTTAAAATGCCAGCGCCTCTCTTCTATGTGGGCGTTCATCAACAAACCGAGGCCGTAAAATTGTGAAAAAAACAAATATAAATATTTTTTTCCCATTTTGACCCCTTTTATATATATATATATATATATATATATATATATATATATATATATATATATATATATATTATTATATATATATATATATATATATATATATATATATATATATATTTTATATTTATATATATATATATATATATATATATATATATATATAGGTCATGTTTTTATATTGTAGGCTATTTATATTCTGTTCTAATGTTACTTCTTTGGCCGGCGTATCCTGACAATCTACGTAGGTGAAAATTAAGTAGTTTTGTTTGGCTCTTTAAGTTCATAGTTAGATTAGCTCTATTTTGTGTATTGAGCACTTTACTTAGTTATTTTTATTTTACTAGTGTCGGAGGTTTTTTCTTTGGACTCTGAGCTTGATTTCTTGTCGATTTGTTTCGTCTGAATTACCTGTTCTTAGTTCTTTCTTTTTTATTCCTTATTTTTCCTTAGGTATTGGTTTGTTTATTTACAAGCCAAAACACCTAAGTTTTTTCAAGGCAGTATACTTATATTTATAAGATTATATATATATATATATATATATATATATATATATATATATATATATATTTTATTTTGCATTTTGGGCAGCAATCCTTCTTTCATGTACATTTCATTAAATACAACAGACACGGTGCTTTGATTTAGTTTTTCAAACAATTTCTCGTCCGATCTAACAATTCTTTTTCTTTTCAGATGATAAATTATATGAAAACCGTTGAAATGTTCTTTTTATCCGAGCGCTTTCGGCTATACATTTAGCCATTTTCAAGGATTATATATTTTAACTGTTAAATAAGAAATAGTTTGTTGCATGTATGTATTTATATAATGTTTTAACTTTTCAAAAAAAAACGTCAAGATATTGTGTCCATGTTCATAATTGATATTATTGAGTATTGTTTTTTTTGTTTTTTGTTTTGGAGGCAATCTTGCGAGGTGACCGTAATTACTATCAGGATCTAATCCGATGTTTTGAGCATCAGCTCAATATGAAGATTAGAACTGATAGAAAGCGATTGGTTTCGACAGATTTCAGCGAAAGGTGGTTGACTGAAGCGAGTCTGGTTCGTGTGAACGGGTCTAGCCTAAATTTTCTTTTTTTAGGTCCACCTAAGTCACATCGTAGTGGTTTCCTTTGGAACCCACCCCTGGTTAGGATAGATCTTTTTTTTTTCTGTGCCTAGAGTCATTTCCGGCCTATTTCCTGCTCCTTATTTGGTTATGATCAAGGTGGAGATTCCCAAACTCCCCACTTTGTTTTTCGCCCTATTTTTCATCTCGACTTGGTCAGCTATTTTCCTTTCTCATAGCCGTATTTATTTTATCCTTTCCCTTAGCAAGAGAAAGTCTCTTGATTTTGTCTAAAAACAAAATACAGCAGCCTCTCTTAAACCTTAACGTATTTTGTGTGTTTTGATATTTTTAGTTTATTTTTTAGGCTTACCCCCCCCACTCATTATATATCATTTACAGATTTTTTATATATAGATTTTTATGTCATGGGGATTTGTTTTTGTCGGTCCCCTAAGAGTATTGCGGTATTATGGCATATGGAGGATTAAATGACGATAGATGACTTCTTATGGTGGATATGCAATTTGTAAGGAGTGAATGGATCATGAATCAGATTAACTAGTTATAAGATAGCAAGCCGAAATGACTCAGTTGTGAGAGCGTTAGACTGCAGATTTAACTGTCCCTGATTTAAGCACAAATTACTGTATCAAGTGGCTGACAACATTACATTCACTTGTGTACTAAAACCCTTGGGAAAGTTATAAATCCTCTTCTTCTCCGCCCAGTTATTTTATAGCCTTGGATGGCAACTAGACTACCGCAGAAAGAAATGGCAACCTACTGCGGGAAATAATCCGCCTCGTCATGTGACGAAAGATAAATGATCGCCTAAGCGTGTATCACGCATGACACGGAAGTGACTTATGATAGAAAGTGACGAGCAGCCTGAACTCTTTCCCCCTTTTAGATCTTGTGACAAAATTTTATTTTATTTAAAATAATTCTCGACACCCTAAATTTGTTGCCGGGAGACAGGCAAGCTAAATTTTGTGGACATTGGACAGAGAATGTTATTATAGGTTGGCGTTATATATGTTCTAACTGAAAAGAAGACGAACAGCAACAATAACAACCATTTACTTTATGAAATACTCGTGTTGAATATACTAAATTATTTGATATTAAAAGAATATCTAGAAACGAATTAAAACGATACAAATTTGGTAAAAGCGTTAAAAATATCTGCTTCATAACATCAGACATTAATGATATCATTTGGCGCTCTACTTTCTCCTCTCTTGATTCTCTATATTTTTTCTTTCTCCTCCTTTGTTTCCATTTCTTCTTCTTCTTTTTCTCCTCCCTTGTTTTCTTTTCTTTTTCTTTTCTCTTCCCTTCTTTTCTTTTCTTCTTTCTTCTCTTCCTTGTTTTTCTGTGTCTTCCCGTGATTCTCTTTCTTCTTCTTTGTTCTCGTTTGTTTCTCTTTCTTTCTTTCTTTCTTTCTTTCTTTCTTTCTTTTTCTTTCTTCATCTTCTTCTTCTTCTATCCCCATCCCCTCCCTTGTTTCTCTTTCTTCTTCTTTGTTCTCGTTAGTTTCTCTTTCTTTCTTTCTTTCTTTCTTTCTTTCTTCCTTTCTTTCTTTCTTTCTTCATCTTCTTCTTCTTCTATCCCCATCCCCTCCCTTGTTTCTCTTTCTTCTTCTTTGTTCTCGTTTGTTTCTCTTTCTTTCTTGTTTTTTCTCTTTCTTTCCTTCTTTCTTTCTTTATTTTTTTTCTTTTTTTTCTTTTCTTTCTTTCTTTCTTTCTTTCTTTCTTTCTTCTTCTTCTTCTTCTTCTTCTTCTTCTTCTTCTTCTTCTTCTATCACCATCCCCTCCTTTGTTTCTCTTTCTTCTACTTTCTCCTCCTTTATTTCTCCATTTTCCTGGTCACCTCTCCTTCAATTTTCTGTTTTAGCTTCTCATTCCTATTCTCCTTCATTCTTTACTCTTTCGTTTCTTCTTTCCCACTCTCTTTAGCTTCTCTTCTCCCTTCCTTTTACTTCTTATTCTCTCCATTCTCGCCTTTTTCTCATCCCTTTCCTTCCTTTCACTTTGTATCCTCTCTTCACTTCTTTCTTTTTCATTGATACTTTCTGACTTCCTTCCCTCTGCACTGACTCTTTCCCCCCTCCCTTTCTCCCGCCCATTCACCACTATCTTTCTCCTTGACCTTTTCCATATCTTTCCAAATCCCATGAACAGAAACGACAACCATTTATAACATCATGAGTTCCCGAAAGAGCGGCAAATTATATAATCAACGGCAGGTGAAGTTGTCTTTTGCATTTATTTTTTTTTTTTTTCCCTTCTTTTTTACTGTTTTTCTTTGAGGCAAAGACAAACGAATGATTGACGAATGCCGGTATCGAATCCACTCGGCACGCGTCAACGAATTTCGTTAGTCAGAATAAAAAAAAACAAAAAACAGAACAACAACCACACCAGCTGCGAGGAGTTTTCAATTTTGCATTTTTTTCAAACAATATTTCATCTTCCATTCTGGTCAGTCTTAAGAAAAATTATTCCTGAGAATTAGAAAAAAATTCTTCTAATTTAGATATTATTATTATTATTATTATTATTATTATTATTATTATATTTGATTTCTGGTGTATATTCATTTCTATTCGGGTCCCAACCAGAGATCTAAGTTTAGAAATGGCATCGTGACATTGGACTACCATGTCAATAAGAAAGCATATTCTGTTTTTGAGGTTTAGATCACGATAATAATAATAATAATAATAATAATTATTATTATTATTATTATTATTATTATTATTCGTGTATATTATTTTCTTGCTTTGTATGCAGTAGATCCGGGTCCAAACTATGGTCCATAGGCCCTATAGGAGAATTGTCATTTAACTGATAGGATTTTTCTTTGTATATGGGATATCCCTAGTAGGGCGATCTTCTGGGCAACTTGTATGTTGTTGTTACCTAGGACACTGTTAGAAAAATTGTCCATTCCTTTCCTCACGTTGTCCAGAGCTCCGATTACTATTGGTACAGTCTTAGTCTTCATTCCCCACATCCTGTTAATCTCAATCTCCAAGACTTTGTATTTGTTGATTGAGTGGATTTGGTGTTTTACTATTCATAGAAGAGGGTCATTGATTTTTGTGACGCATGCTTCTAATTCAATTGTTTTATATTTTACATTTAGTTCATGCTGGATTAGACCTCATCTTCCTAAAGCTCTTGATAAGTACAGCTTGGCTAAACATGGTTTTGGTGTTCAATCTTTTAATATCATTCAACTTCTATTTCATAATGTTTAAGCTGTACATTACTAGAGTAAAGCGAAGCTGTTGATAGCCTTCATTTTTTGACCCCATTAATTTCGATTTCTAATATCAAACGCACTATATGTTACTTCATAATTGAATATTTTATTCAGTCTCCTTCATTAATTCCTAAATATTTGTATACACCAACTTGGTCTAAGTCATTAATCTTGTTGTTGGTATCAAAGTCTAAGCCTTTAGTTTTCGTTTGTTTATCGCCCTAGATAGTGGCTTTGGCACATTTGTCGATTACCGAACTCCATCCTAATGACTTCACTGAAGGTTTTAACAATGCTGAGTAGGTTTTGCTGTTGTTTGTCATCCTTGATAAACATTTTAAGTTCATCATTATAAAATTGGTGATTCAGTTGTCCATTCTGTGATCCGTCTCCGTAGCGTCTCCGTGTTCAGCAGGCAGCAGAATGCAGTTCATGTAAAGCAAAAATTGTGGTGATAATGAATCTCTTTGGAAGATCCTGCTTTTGACATTGATTGATCTCGATGTTAACGACCCGTTTATATGGTTTAGGTTTAGAGTAGTCTTGCAGTTTTTCATGCACTTCATTATGAATTTGACAGTTGTGGAGCATACTCTCTATATTTTTAAGTTCTTCTCTATCCATGAATGTGGTACTCTGTCGAATATCTTTCTGTAGTCGATCCATGTTATCGATAATTTTTCCTTGTTTCCACATCTTCCAATATTGTTTTCTTGATAATTTGTTGGTCCATACACTCGTAACTTCCTCTTTTACATCCCTTCTGTTCTACTGGGTGTAAATTGGTTTTCTCAATGAAAATCTATGTCCTCTCGGTTATGATAGAAGTGAGGATGGGCCTATAGTACTCTTCTGTTTTGGGGAGTAAGTTACTCCCCACGGGAGACCTTTGGGGGCATTTTATGGGTTTATTATTATATCATTGTATGACCGTGCCATGTCTTGGTGCGTGCTAGATAATTTTTTATTCCAAAATTATTTATTCGGTCTATTCCTGGATCTTCTCAGGTTTTCGTTTTGCAGAACAGCAGTTGTTTCAGGAATATTGATCTCCGTCCATTTTTGGCACTCTATACATGTGTTGTTATACCAAAAATCCTCGAATTCCTGGATATTAGGTGGGTAATTTTTCTCTATTTTATTTTCCTCAGTTCTCGATATACTTTCTTGGCATCTTCTTTTCCCAGAAGAATTTGTTTCTTTTTTCATAAACCATTTTCTTCTATGCTTGTTTCAGCTTCTCTTTAAGTTTTAGCACGTCAGCCTTATTCTTTATGTCAAGGCATCGTTTCAGTTGTCTTCTTTTTCTTTCATCCATTTTGAATCCTTTGTCTACTTTACTTAGAAATGATAATTCTACTTGTAGTTTATTTATTTTGGTTACTACTTTTTCTTTCGAGCCTGACATTTTTCTTTTTCGTTTACGTTATGTTTTTACTTTTTCGCTTCTTATTTATGTGATCGTCGTCGAGGCCGAGTATATAAGATGATTAATTGCTGTCAGGTTCATCAGTCTTTCCAATTTGTCCATTATTTTTCTAATTGCTTGCCTAGCGAGATTGATGGTTTCCTCCACTTGACGGTTCTTTCTTATTTTTGGAATTGTTGACCTTTCTGCGAAAAAACATTTATTCTCCCATTTATATCGGATGTTTTTTGTCATCTCTGTTTCTCTCTCATATTCGTCATTATCCTCCTCTATTTGCTTCTGTACCTCAGAGGAGTTATTACAACTGGTTTCTATTTGTTCCTCTGCATGTATCTCCTCAGGGTTCTTGGCATTTGACCCCTGGATGTTAACGTTTCAGCTGTATTTGATGTTTTCTAGGATGTTTTATATCAGGTGGTCTTTGTTTCCTGATGATGTCACACTTTGTTGGCATCGATGTTTTTCTCGCCGGATATTATAAGCGAATTTGATCGTCGTCGTTGTTCGATTTACTGTAGTGGTGTAAAAGGCTATCATTACTTCAATATACTCTTCCTTAGACCATTCATTTATTGTTCTTTGTGTGGGAATTTCTTTTAATGAATATAGTGGGCCTCTATGAGGACTGTCATCAGCTTGGTTTTCCTCTAGTTTTTGTTGAATAGAGTTTTGTACCTTTGCAATTGTTTCGATCCCAGTTTGGTTCCTCAGTTTTGATCATGATCACTGTTGACCCAAATGACGACCGATGTGATTTAGCAATATTTTTCGTTGTGTCAGCATTATAGTTAGTTCGTATTTACCTATACTTGGGGCTGGTTTGTGGGCGCCAGAGCATATACATAGCGTGGTGGGCCATCACGATTAGGGGCCAGGCCTACTCCTGATATATTTCATTATTATTATTATTATTATTATTATTTCTTGTGATTTCTGTTGCATAAACATTTTCTTCCGGGTCCCAACCAGAGAACTAACTTCAGAAATGGCTTCATGACATTTTTCACTGCCATTTTTGTAAATTTTCTTTTAATGAGTATAGTGGGCCTCTATGACGACTGTCATCAGCGTGGTTTTCCTCTAGATTTTATTGGATAAAGTTTTGTACCTTTGTAATTGTTTCGATCCCAGTCTGGTTCCACAGTGGTGATCGTGGTCCCTGTTGACCCATGTGAAGACCGATGCGATTTAGCAATATTTTTCGTTGTGCCTGCATTATAGCTGGTTCGTATTTCCCTATAATTGGGGATGGTTTGTGGGCGACAGAGCATATCCTTACCGTGGTGGGGCCATCACAAATAGGAGCAAGGCCTACTCCTGCTATATTTTATTATTATTATTATTATTATTATTATTATTATTTCCTTTGATTTATAGTGTATACACATTTCTTTCCGTGTCCGAACATGAAACCGATGGTCAGATATATCTTTCCACTGATACTTTTTGAAAACAAACATAAACAAAGATCACACATATTTATTAGAGAGATGGAGCCCTTCGAAAGATATCAGCTGTACTTGTGAGTACATTTTTTGTGTTTCTTGAAGGCATGAACTACCAAGAATCCGTTCAATGAGTCTATTGGAACCTTTCCCAATCAATCCGAGGGTTTCAATTTATTTATTGTACTTTTTGTGGAATTATCTTTCCCTGGCGTGGTTTTACTCAAGTTCTCGTTGGGTAGAATTTGTTCGAGTTGTAGACTTTTCAATCCCTGTCTGACTCACCATTGAGGATCCCGGTCCTTGTTATTTATGCGTCATGGGTCCATACCTATAACTACAGAATGAACTCTTCCTAACACTATGTATACTACGCCTCTCTAGAGAGAGGGTCGAATCAAGCCGAGCATCTTGTCTTGACGGTCGAACTCTCTCTGCCTCTGAGCAGTGCGGAAGTTGGACGAGGCTCCGCCGAAGGGCAGAGTCTCGTTCGGGGAGGTTGACCAACCCGATCCCGTTTATACGTGTTCTACGGGCATTTTTTGGCCGAGTCTACGGGCTCGGGAAACCAACGTTAAACTCGGCCTTGTGCCATATGCAACCCTCGTGAGGGGGTGGCTAGATACCAAATCGAGTCGAGCCGATAGTAGTTCACTCCAAACCAGACTGACAGTCATACTAACACCTTCCACATTATTTCGTGTAATATACCTTCGTTATTTCTACTCTTGTGTTCGTGTTGTTCTTCTTTGGTCCTAACCTGAACAATAACATTATGTTTAGTTCGTATTTACCCATACGTGAGAACTGGTTTGTGGGCGCCAGAGCATATCCATACCATGGTGGGTCATCATGTTCAGGAGACAGGCCTCTTTCTGCTATGATTAATATTATTATTATTATTATTGTAAAGCACTTATTTGA